CACTGTGTTCAGCAGTTTTTGACCAAAAACGACATGACCCTCATGTTCCAACCTCCCCATTCACTTGATCTCACCCCCAGCGACATTTTTTTTGTTTGTTTCCCTGGATAAAAAATGTCCTCAAAAATAAATGTTTTGCTCATGTGGAAGGGGTGAAACAAAAAATGGCAGAAGCACTGAAATACATCAAAATCAACAAGTTCAAAAACTGTTTTGAGCAGTGGAAAAAAGTGTCCTGATAGGTGAATTGCATCAAATGGAGAGTATTTTGAAGGTGACTGATGTTTAAACATGTAAGAATAAATACACAATTTTTTATACATAAATTCCATTTTGGGGGGGTCCCCCTTGTATATTATATAACAACAATAGTTGTCACAAACCAGATACGGTGGCAGGTGCTCAGTAATTCCCCCACTCAGCCTTCACAGTGTTTTGGGATAGCTGGCATTATCTCTGTTTAAAGATGCAGAAGCCAAAGCTCAGAGAGGTTAGGTAACTGAGCTGAAGCCACATGCTGTTGCAGGGCAGAGAGTGGGATGTTTGCCTCAGGGACTGGGAGCCCCTGTGTCCGGAGGCCTCCCCAGCCCTGCATTTGGGGTAATGAGGCTGTCTCTCATTGGGCTCAGCACCCAGCAGGCCTCCTGAAGCAGCACAGGCGGGGCTGCTGCTTCCCTGGTGCTGCTCCCCCCACCTCAGAGACTGCAGAGGTACTGCTCACGAGTCCCATTCCTCAAAAATGGGCTCCTCTTCCAACTCAGGTCCCTTCTGTGACAAAAGACCTGTGACGCTCCAATCAGAAAAGCCAACTGGACCCTCCCCCTTCTCACTACCTCTACTCTCTAGCCTGCATCCTCTAAGTTATGGTGTAAATCAGCACAAGGGGTCTTTTTTTCCTTCTCTCTCACCCATTTTCCTAAAGGAAGATTGGCTGCTCCCTAGGAATCTTTTGAAGACCATCAGGGTGGAACACCAGCAAGAACCCAGAAGATTTAGGTTCAAGTTCTGGATCTGCTGCTCACTTGCTATGTCATGAGCTAACAGAATGATTCTTTCCCTGTAGTTGCCCTATAGTATTGTAATGTCAGCAAATGTAGAACCTGCCTGATAAGACAGATGCATAAGACAATGTGGCTACCATACTTAGCTGACACATGAGACTTCACAAATACTGGCTGCTGTTGTTACTGGTCATGACTGGCTCAGGAACTGGGCGGCAGGGTCTGCCATCAGCTGGAAGGATGGTGTGTGGGCTAAAGACTGTTGCTGACCACCACTCCAATCAGTCACTGAACTCTTTCCTAGAGTTTCAGTTCTCAGGTTGTATTCTTTGTTAGAGATTACAGTCATGACTTTTAAAAGACCTTGATTAGGACACTTTTCAGTGTAGCTAACCTCCTTAGTCAGTACACTGTGTTTCTGCTGGGAGGTAATTGTTGCCATCTCTGCTGGGTTGCACAATTTGAGGAATAATTTGCAGAAGCATCAATTGCCGCCATGACCAGGGCATGGAGCATAATTATATCTAGTGGAAACTGTGATTGAGCCTGGAATTGAAGCCTGATTTGCAGGGGCTATAAATGAGCTGCCACCTCCAGAGCATTACGTGCCTGCTAGATGGTGGGACTGTAATCAACCTCAGCCTGTTTCCAAACACTCATTCTCCAAGTCCCAGTGGGTCCAAAACCCTGACTCTGGTGCGTGTCAAGATCCCTGCAGAATCTGGCTGCACTGAGACCTTCCTATTGTCCAAGACATGATTCATAGTTTTCTAGGGAATGTCCTTTACTGTCTTTGCTTTCTAGTTGTAATATAACAAAGACAATTTGGAGCAATCCATCTGCCAAGAGTCCCCCAATAGCAATGCCCTGCTCCCCACTCAGTATTTGGCCCAGGAAGATCCAGTTTTATTTGTGGCTGAAAGGGAAGAAGATTGGGGGATCCAGGCCTTCCTTCTCTCTCATGTGAATGACCCTGCACAACAGGAGGATTCATCTCTTGCCCTCACCATGGCCAAGGTCTGCTCTACACATGGGTGAAAGGCCACACTTTGAGTACTTCTGAGAAGCTGATGATGGCATCTGTGACAGGAGAGGTCTTTCATCCTGAGGCAAGGGTATGTGTCCTGCCAGCCCTTTGTACCACCCGAAAACATGCTGGGAATCATATTTGCAGGTCCACAAATGTTACAATTTGTCCCATGGCAAGAAAGACTTGTCCCATGGCAAGAAAGACTTAACTGGAGGCTCGGTAGAGAGAGCAGAGTAAAGGCTGAGACAATATGGCCTATAGGGGTAAAACATGCTGAGTTGGAGCAAAAATACACATTCTACATGTAGTCAGCGCTTTGTAAACACTGGGGAGAGAGTAGGCAGAGCTGGGATGGTGTTCACAGACAATTCTCCAACTTTATTTTAGCCCCTTTTTTACCCTCCTGCAGGCCAGCGTCTTGACATAATTACCTTGGCTACACAGTCCTTGTTTGTATCTCCAGAGAGACAGCGGTCTTTGAAGAAAGAACACAAGTCCTGAGACAGATGACCCAAGTCTGGAAGGAATCCCAAGATGAAGGAAATGCAAAATAGTAAAAAGTGCAGGCTTTTGACCCAGTCAGACTTTAGTTCCTATCCTCGTTTTGTTATATACTATCTGTGAGACCTTTATATCTTAGCCAAGTCTCAGTTTGCTTACTGCAAAATTGAACAAAGATCTATCCTATAAGACTATTATTAAAATCATTAATACATGTGTAAGGCATATATAAGCTAGCTCATCTTAAGTACTGAATAAATGGCAAGTATTACCATCATTAACATCTTTAAAATGGTGGTATTTAGTAATACTTTGCAATGTTGTTGTGAAGAGTAGGAAGAAAAATAACCTTGGCCAATAGATGTTTAATAAATGGTACTGTTGTTGGGTCTGTCTTTGCTGGGTAGTACACCTCTGACCTTCGGCAGTCGCCTCTGCCACTGGTAAAATGGGGAAGGAGTATTTCTACCCCTCCTTACTCCCATAAGGACTGCAGTGGCAGCTGGAGATAATTACACCGGCCTTGCTTGTTTTTTGGAGTTGTGACAAGCAAATCACATACAACATATGGGAAGCCAGGCATGGGGAACAACGTGCTAGAATGAAACACATTGGATTGGGGGCAAGGGACTTGGGGTCTAGTCTTGGTACCCTTTTGCTGCCCACAGGCAATGACCAAGCAATGACCTTCAGGTGCACACACTGGTGACCTCTCAGCAGCTGTGAGAAACACAAATGAGAGCCAGTATCATCGTTACTGTTCCTCGAGGGGAAGGCCAGTCTTCTCCCTCTAGTCTTTGGAACCCAGCAAAGTCCTTGGCATACAGTAGGCACTCTATATTTCTGCTTGTTTAATGAACTACAAAACTGCCCAGAAGTTGTATTTTTAAACATTAGTTGATTTTTTTTGGCCCATATGTTTATAGCTTTTGGTTTCAGCCTGATTTGTTGGGTCCCTGGGCCTGTGTCCCAAAGTATTTTATTCCATGCTAACCTCAACATACACAGAAATGTTATTTGGACACAACTAAAATCAGAAAAAAAGCCTGTCATAAAAGAGAGTACAAAGCAGCTCTTTTGTCTGTGGCAGTTGTACACAGTTTCACGAGTAACCTAACACCCAACTCTGGTTTGGTTACTGCTCCTCTAGGTTCCCTATTATTCTCCCATTCTGCAGGATTTATCCCTGGAGTGAAGGTGGTAGGCATTACAGAGTCCTGACATGCTTATTCGGATGACCCTTCATGAGTAGTTAAGAATGTGAGGGATGCCTTACAAGCCTCCTCCAAATGGGAAGTGGCAGGTGGAATGGAAGGTAGAAACATGGATGAGGGGACTGGGCTTCCTGGTACCAGGGGAGAGATCTTGAAGTGGATTTTCTTGGTAGTAGGGGATACCACACGTACCCTTCCCACACACACTACATACTATTCCAGAATTGTTACAGTGTTTGGTCTCTGAGAGCTTTGGTGTAAGAGGGAAACTTGTAAAGGTAAGAGAAGGGATGGAAAAGACCAAAATGCTAATAGTCACTGTGCTCACTGTGATAATGGCCCTGGAACAAAAGCACTGGCAAAAGGAGAGTGTTTTCCAGATCTGCCATGCATCAAGCCTTCTTCTCATGTTCCTGAGGAACATCTGTGATCGTAAGTCATTTTGAATACCATTTCCCACCCCCAAAGTCTTCTGCCTTTTTTCCTTCCCTACCCTACCTTCCCCCACCCCCTTCCCACACTGAGTGAGGCTTTAGATTGATGGACTGACTAAAGCCTCACTCAATCACTCTTGCTGGGTTAGGCGTCCCTCTGTAGCCTTCAACTCACTGCACTGCAATTTCTGGTTTATTTACTTACTGTTCAGTTCTGAAAAGGAGGCCCTTTACCTTATTCAACATTCTATCCCCCAAATAGCACACCACAATAAAGGTGATGCTCAGTGAATGCTTAATTTATTTAGTATACTAGAGTATACTTCTAACTTACTGCACTTTAATTTTCCTCTAGATACTATAATGGCTAAGCAAATAGAGGTACATGTCATTCTTTTTTCTTTATACAACAGACAAAAAGTGTTGGGAAGCTAGACACCAATCAGTTATTTGTGTTTCATGGTACCAGATCATTATCCTGCTGAGTTCCTTCAAACTATTAAAGTACAGGACTACAATGCTGCATAGTTTGTTTAAGATCACAGAATAAAATACAAAGTGTTTCAAACCATTTTACAAAAACAGCAAAACTCAACAACAAAATCTTATGACAAAAAGTAGACCAATTTCATTTAAACATCAATTTTACTGTATATTAAATGTCACAAAACCTAGCAAGATGCAAAACTAAATTCTAGTTACACAAATACAACTTTTACAGAAATAACACTCCTCTCACCTTACACTACTTAAGAATCAAACAGTAGCTTCCATACCCAGGACCGCTCCACCCCCTCACTGACCACCTTTTCCTCAGCCCTCACCAGGGCCCGATGCCAGCCCTAGCATTAGCCCTGGCCCTAACCCTGGCCCTCGTACTGGCTGTATCTGCCAGGGCCTCACAGTGCTGCACTGGCCAGTGCTGGGATTCCTTTTTTAAGGAACTTGGCCATGAACTCTAGGTTCATCTTGCTGGTTTCCAGGTTGCTTGGGGGACCCCAAGGGAATTCACACTCTGGTGGATAGGTGTGAGGCACCACCTGTAACCGAGGTGTCACTGCTGCACGAAATCTTCCCTAATAAGCCTTCTCGGGAGCTCAAAGAGGCCGTGATACTCTGAGGGACACACCCCCAACCGACTCAGCACCTCCTAAACCTGTGCCTCCTTGGCCCTTTTATCTTGTATGCAGATGAGACCCACGATCATCATTAAGAGACTCAGTCGGGGGCCATCCGCTCCCAGATCCTTCTCCTCCAGAGGTTTCAGTTTGTTGGTCAGGGTGTGTGTGGTGTTCGTGCCAAGCTGTTTCAGCTCAAAACTAGAGACATACCACAGATGTTCTGCGGCCCTAGCGATGATCTCAGGGAAAAGATTCTTTAAGTCTCCCATAACGTTTTTCGCCATCTCAGAGCGACCGATGGGAACGGGAAGGGCACCAACTCCGCCACCGTCTGATTCGGAGGGCGGCAGGCCCTGCGCCGGGTCAAGGTTTTGAATGCCGAGACCCTCGCGCAGCTCCGGGTGAGGGCGGGCTCTGCAGCCCCTCCTCCCTCAAGGCGCCAAGGTCCGCCTTGGGGCTCTTCCGCTGGTGGGGGCTCGGGGCCTCCTCCTGCGAGGTGGTTGGGGTCGCACCGTCACAGTCACCACACTCCTGCTCCTCTGCCTGAGGGACCCCGAGACCCCCGCTCCCGGGTTTCTGCAACGTGTTTTCGGGAAGAAAGGCGCACAGCGCTGACAATGACCGTGGGATGTTCATTCCGCTGCACAAACCCAGTGAAGCGGCTGGCAGCGGCTGGGGCGGCGGGAGGAGGACTCGGAGAGATGACGGAAGGCACACTGTGGGTGCAGGTAGCACCGCAGAGAACTCCAATGGGTGACCGCAGCGCCGCCGGTGCCCCAGTCTTGCGGCGCCGCCACTGCGCAGCCTCAGTCCGCGCCCGCGCGCGGGCTCGGGGGGCTACTTCCGGCCTGCTCCAGCGGGATGGTGGCCCTGGGGCCGCGCGAAGCCCCTCCCCTACCGGCCCCCTGTGGGTGGTGGGGTACTCGTTGGCTTCTTTGGTAGTCGGGTCTCTGGGGAAAGTGTCCGTTCTTCACTGCTTTTTAGGCTCGAGAGCTGGAGGGGAGGTACCAGGGTTTTCACAAACGAGGCAGGCGGAATGGGGGATGTTTCCACGTACAGGGATGCAATAGGGATGGAGTTCAAGCCACGTCTCTCAGCAGGTGCTTATTTGTGAATGTGTGTATCTAGGATTTTGAGGGATTTGCTCTGGACCAAGTGCGGAGTGCTTGGAGGTGAAAGCTGGGAGATAAGTCTATCTGGATAATTAGTGAAGGGTCTTGAACGGGATGCTAGGGAGAATGAAACTTAATTCTGAACACGCTGGGAAAATTCCTGGACCAGTATGTACTTCCCGTGGCAGTGTGGAGGAAGGATCGGAGCAGGGTGGACCACAAGCTGGGAATCCAGTTCGGAGTATTACTACAGTGCAGGACGGGAAGTGGGATTTGGCCTGTCTTGTTCATTGGTGTATCCTTAGCTCCTAGAACAGCACGTTGAGGCACTCCATAAACACTGTAAAATAGATGAGGAAGGGGTAAGGGTAGCAGGTTATAGGGGGATGAAAGGAAAATGATGCGATATATTGTACAGCTGGCAGAAGCAGGTGTCCAAACTTTTGGCACCTCTGGCCCACATTGGAAGAAGAAGAGTTGTCTTGGGCCACACATGAAATACATTGTGACACATAATCACAAAAAAAATCTCATAGTGTTCTAAGTAAATTTATGATTTTGTGTTGGGCTGAATACATAGCCATCTTGAGCCTCATGTGGCCCACAGGATACAAGTTGGACACCCTTGACTGGAAAGGTGAGATTTTCAACCTAATCAAATCTAACTACTCCCATTTTTCTTTTTGCATACCCTACTCTGAGCTTTCTTCCACTTCCTGTCTTCCTTTTTTTTCCTTTCCTTTCCTCCCCTCCCCTCCCCTCCCCTCTCCTCTCCTCTCCTCTCTCTCCAGGATTCAGCTTAAGTGTCACCATTCCAAAGCCTTCCTTAGTCTCCATGCCATGCATGGAAGTTATTTATTGCCATCTGTGAATCACCATAGCAATTTGTATTTATTTAGCATCCACTTAAATAGACCTTATTATGTGCTAGGCTCTGTTGTAACCTGCTTTTCAAATATTAATTTGTTTAATTCTCAAGGTAAGTACTATTATCATCACCCCTATTTTATAGCTATGTTCTTCCTATGGCATTTGTTATTTACTAGCTATGTAATCTTGGGTAGGTTACCTAAACTCCCTGCTCCTCAGTTTCCTTATCAGTAAAATGGGCATAATATTAGAAACAACATTGTGGAGATTATGTGAAGTTATGCATATGAAGCATTTAACAGAATGCTTGGCAAACTCTGAGTGTTCAATAAATGTTAACTACTATTTATTGCATTTTTAATGTACTGATACTGTGCTAAGTATTCACATGTATTGACTGGTTTACTGCTCAAAACAGCCCTGCTAGGTAAGTGATGTTATTATTCCCATTTTATAAGTGAAGTAACACAGAAAAAGGTTAAATAACTTTCCCACATAACATGACTGAGATTTGAACCATATAGTATAATTCCAGAGACTTAACACAATATTTATAGGTGTTATTATTATTGACCATACTTTGTATTATAATTATTTTTGTGGTTATCTTTTTACCAAAACCAAACACCCTATGGGCTAGGGCTGTGTCTTTAACTTTTTTGAAGAGCCCCTCAAAGTTGGCACTCAGTATATAATTGTCACTGGATAAGTGATGGGAGGCTTTGCTCTTTACATGGGAAATAACATTTATTTCAAGTAAATATCTGACAGTTAGACTTTCCTAGATATAATTATGAACTTCATTTTAAAAACTTCTGAAAATATATACTCATTTATACTATATGACTTACAAAATCTGAAAGTGTGTAAGTGAAGCAGGAAGATGTTTATTATAGTCAAGCTCGAGGCTATTATTAGTTTCCATTGTGCCAAACATTTTATGTACAGTATAATTTAGTCCTCACAAGTCCCTATTAGGAAGGTATTATTATCTTCATTTTACAAATGGGAAACAGTCACAGAAGGGTAAAATCACCTGTCCCAAACCACCCATCTGTTAAGTGCTGGACCGGAAATGAGAACCTAGATTGTCTCTTTTGAAGACTGGACTCATGACTGCCACGCTGAATTGCCTGGCTATCTGTTTCTCCTTAAGGTAGAGAGAGCCACTCCTTCCTAAAAGGGGAACACTAGACATAAAATTGCCCACTTAACATATCTTTCTCATATCAAGCATTGCCAAGGAGATATGCAGAAGATATGTGCATAGGAAGTACCACGCAGGAGATACATTAAATGGGAAGGGTTTTGAGGGACAGATTAGCAGTAATATAACAATTTAAAAAACTGAATGAATAATGTATCACTACTCATCAAAAAAGGGAGCAAACTACTGATAACATGTGGATGAGTCATTATGTCAAGCAAAAAAGATGCAAAAGAAGATACAAAAGGTTACATACAATATGATTACTTTTAATCTGTTGAAGATAGTTTAAACTGATCTGTGGTGATAGACATCAGAACAGTGGAGTGGAGTTGACTGGGAAGAGATGCATTAACATTCTGGGGGTGATGAGAATATTCAGTATCTTGGATTGGGGGTTGGTATACATGTCTTGAAAATTATCAAACTGTGCCCTTAATATATACATACCTCACAGTATATAAATATACCTCAAAATTATACAAACTAAAGTTTTTTATTGGAGTATAATTGACATAATATTGGTTGTAGGTATATAGCAGAATAATGATTCTATATTTGTGTATATTGTGAAGTGGTCACAGTAAGTCTAGTTTAACATCTGTTACCATCCATAGTTACAAAATTATTTTTTTTCTTGTGATCAGAACTGAGGTATGTGTTTTTGTTCTTATTTTATAAAAGAGGAATCTGAGGCTCAGGGAAATTAACTTGCCTAAAGTTACCCAGTGAATAAATGGAAATGCCAAACCCAGCCCAGGTTTTAATTTTTATCTCCACCCAAGGACAATTTTTCATTGCTTTTAGAAAGAGAAGAAGGCAGGGAGGGAATGGGAAAAAGAGAGGTGGCGGGGCAGGGGAGAGAGCGAGAGAGACAAAGACATTGAGAGACATCAAGGTGAGAGAGAAACATTGATTGGCAGCCTCTTCGTACATGCCCTGACCAAGGGTCGAACCTACAACCCTGGTATGTACTCTGACCAGAAATCAGACCCAGAACCTTTCAATCTACGGGACCAACCAACTGAGCCACATTGACCAGGGCCAGATGTTTTTAACTGCAAATCTCATAATACTTTCAAGAGCATTGGAATGGCATTAGGTTCAGATTGTCACTGAAATTCACAAGACACAATGGGCTTACCAGGCCTGAGTTTTACGTTGCCTTAAGGAATACAGAATAAGGAGCAGAACAGCACCCTAGGCTAATAGTATCATAAAGGCCTTGGATATCCAGAGCCAATGTCACAATCACCAACTGGTCTTGTTTTTAAACTTAAGGGAAATTTAATTTAGTCTTCTTTTTATTTTTTATTTTTAATTATATTTTATTGATTATGCGATTACAGTTGTCCCAATTTTTCCTCCTTTGCCCCCCTCCACCCAGCAGAGAACCCCCATTCTCTCAGGCAATCCCCCCACCATGGTTCATGTCCATGGGCCCTGTGTATAAGTTCTTTGGCTACTCCATTTCTTATACTATACTTTATATCCCCATGGCTGTACTGTAACCAACTATTTGTACTTCTTAATCCCCTCACCTCTTTACCCATTCTCCCACGTCTCCTCCCATCTGGCATCCCTCAAAACACTCTTTATCCATGATTCTGTCTGTTTTTCTTGCTTGCATATTTGTTTTTTAGATTCCATTGTTGATAGATATGTATATTTTGCTATTTTATTATTCATAGTTTTGATCTTCTTTTTCTTAAAGAAGTCCCTTTAACATTTCATATAATAATGGTTTGGTGATGATGAACTCCTTTAGTTTTTTCTTTTCTGGGAAGCTCTTTATCTGCCCTTAGAGCTAAATGATTGCTGGGTAGAGAAATCTTGGCCATGGCCCTTGCTTTACATGACTTTGGATATTTCTTGCCAATCCCTTCTAGCTTGCAAAGTTTCCTTTGAGAAATCAGCTGACAGTCTTATGGGAACTCTCCTGTAGGTAACTGACTTCTTTTCTCTTGCTGCTTTTAAGAATCTCTCTTTATCTTTAAACTTGGGCATTTTAATTATGATGTGTCTTAGAGTGGGCCTCTTTGTACCTATCTTGTTTGGGACTCTCTGTGCTTCCTGGATTTGCATGTCTGTGTCCTTCACCAAATTAGGGAAGTTTTTTTCATTATTCTTTCAAATAGATTTCCAATTTCTTGCTCTTCCTCTTTCCTTTTTGCCACCCCCTATGATGCGAATGTTGGGACACTTGAAGTTGTCCCAGAGGCTCCTTATCCTATGCTTGTTTGTTTGGGTTCGTTTTTCTCCTTGTTGTTCTGATTGGTTGTTTTTTGCTTCTTTATGTACCCAGTCATTGATTTGACTCTCAGCTTTATCCATTTTACTGCTATTTCTCTGTAAGTTATTCTTTTTTCAATTAGTGCATCCTTCATTTCTGACTGGGTATTTTTTATGCAGCTGAGATCCTTACTAATTTCCTTGAGCATCCTAAT